CCACTGTGTGACCCACATGACACATTTTCTCTTAGCATGTCCTCATCCCTATTTTATCCACCACCCCTTGAAAAAATATGAAATTAAACGTAAATTACTCTCCATAAAATCGTTATTGCTCAGACAAACCATAATTGTTATAGCCTTCAATTTTCTTTGGTTACAGAGCTATCAGATAGAAACTTATACCCCTCCTGCCACACCCACCTGTCACATCCTCTCTTTCATAATTCATTGATAGTTCTCTTTTACGTTTCATTATATATTACCTATAATCAACAGAAAGTCAAGGTTTTCACCTATCAAATGATTTATTGTATAACACTGTTTTCTAAACATGAAAGCATGAATTTCACTCACAGTACAAGCTTTGTTCTCATGGGAAAGTTAACGACTAGCTTGGATGAATTTGTAACGGCTCTTGTTGCATAGTTTGAAAGCCAGAAAAATTTTAAGAGGTAAGGGAATTTGTCTACTTTTTGCATGTTATTAGTCTATAGTCTTTGGTGCATTATTTAATGAAATAATCAACAATTAAAAGCAAGAAAAAAGAAGATTGAGTAAGTACTTTATTTTTACTTTTCATATTTATTTATTATTATAATCGTAACTAAAAATACAGATCTTTTTTAAGTTATTTAAGACTAGATTATGTAAAATAAGTAGTAATAATAACATATTTAAAATGGTTCATTAGGCACGCGTGCAGCTCGTGGGTAATGTAATTCGATAGTATAGCATGACCTGCACGTTCTCCGAGTGATTTACAAATTTTTATGGCACAGATAGTAGTTAGACATGGTTCAAAGGGCAATAAAACAATAAAATGTAATTATAAATAGATGTATACTGTTACAAACTTAACAGCTACTTAGGATAAACGAATGTAGTTTCATGTTACAAATTGAAGTCATTGTAGAAAGAAAAAAAAGGGTAATTTAGGTTTATTTCAATTCTTTTATGGTGGTTACGAGGTCTCTCGAAATGACCGATCCCGTTTTGAGATAGGGTATAGAAAATAACAGATAAACTATAATGTTTTACTGAAAAAAAAAAAAACGTTTGAAATGCATTTAGAAGGTTTTAGGGATTACACAAAGGAAATTTGAAATTTTTGAGATGAGGAGAAGTATTTATAATTTTACCATGAAAATTATTTGTCACACAGACTATTCAAAACAAATACTCAGTATATTCATGGACAAATCTTTATTTTATTAAAAATACTTCACTAAAAATAAGGTTTTTTTGTATGTGAAAGATTTATAATGTTAACTGAAAGACTGCCAAATTTTGTGAAGATATACACACACTATACTGAGAGTTATAAGTATTAAATCTATAAAGAATTTAAATGAGTACAAAAAGGTTACACGATCAGTCAAATTAACCGAGCCTGTATTGAGAGAGTTGATATGTTCGTAGAAATAAATGAGAATAATCATACAAGATGAATATCAAGCCAGACCTTTACGACTATAACTTACCAGAATAAGAAAAACAACAAGATACACTCCAAATTTAAATATGAAATAAACTAAGCTTGCAAAACTTTTAATTATCAAACTACAACGTTACCAGTAGAGTTTGTTTGTTTGTTTTTTGTAATTTTCG